TAAAATCTTTGAGTTCTATATGGACGGGGAACATAATCCCAAAATTTCAGCTTTCTAGCTTTTCTAGTTTCTAAGTTGGCGATTCTCCCGCCAAAACTTTGAGGCGCTCGTAAACGGGCCTAAATGCGCGTGAGGATTGGTATCGCTCTCCTGCGCTGGCACTTGGCCGGGGAACCCACTCTCAAAATTTTTGCGCCGGAGCTTGCTTGGGTGCCGAGTTGAAATACCCTGACAGACGCACACACGCACATAAACACGGGCACCGGGGTCGTCGCAACATGCGTGTTCGCATTTGCATATATGCAAAAACGCATAAAAACTAGTCAACGCATAAAAACTAGTGCAAAAACGCATAAAAACTAGTCAACCAGAACAATGTGCATTTGATAAAACTACTTTGGATAAAATAAACTTTTCTGCATTTTTTTCAGAAGAAAAATTCATATTTATTGCTCAGTTTAAGAAATTTAGCCTAGCTTTATTCCCTGTAATCTGATAAATTCATTTTGTGCACTCCGTTACTTCATGTTAAACTTTTCCCTCATGAAAATTCTTTTCAATGAGCATCAAGAAAATGCCCCATAGAATGAATACCTGCTTATCATCACTGTACGGGTATTCTTCTTCACTAATTTCATAGGAATAGCCAACTCCGGGCAGTGATTCTATAACAACGATCGATGCCAACTGAAATCATCGCTTAATTCAATGCTCCTCAGTACTAGAGTTTCAAACGCGTCGAGATTTTTAGACGTAATTAAATAGAAGTTGAAAGCCTTTTTTTTCAGACAGCAGCAGTAAAAACAACTGGCGTTGCTAGCCGGAAATTTAATTTTGCCTGTCGTTCTCGGTGAGTGAACCAAAAAGAGTTCGATCATCTGGATAAACTTTTTGCCAGCGAGCAGATACTTAGAGAGGTATTTTAGCACAACCTTATTCCATGAGTAAATGTTTTTCACAAGTGTTTTCCCGTCGTTCTTAACATGAAATGGGCCGAACGCTAGAAGCAATCCTTGAATCGATGAACAACCTGGGCCACCATTAAACCAAAATATTAGTGGATCCTTTGCTACATTGCCCTGTGATTCCACAAGCCTGCAAGAAGCTGCCAGTCAAGTACTGTTCACTGGATTTTTTTT